TCTGACACACACGGGGCACCATGAGTGGGATCTACTTACGAAACATCATCCACTGAGAACCCTGTGGGCACAGTTCTACTCTGACACACACGGGGGCACCATGAGTGGGATCTACTTAGGAAACACCATCCACTGAGAACCCTGTGGGGCACAGTTCTACTCTGACACACACACGGGGCACCATGAGTGGGATCTACTGATCCCATCCTCCTCCTGTTTTCTCCTGCACCACTGGAGTCCATTGGTGCAGCTGTGTGATGGGGAGCCTCCCTAGTGTTTGCAGACCCCTTCTTGTACCGAGCACGTTGCCCTTTCTAGTGATTACTCACTGTACTGCTGTCTGTGTGGCTGTTGGTTAACATTGAGGGGGCTCCGACTCGTGTATGTACCCCCTGAATCTATGGACTCATGTATGTACCCCATATATGCATGTCTCCGATCATCCCATATATGTACATATCCCATGATTCCACATATTCCATATATGTGTGCACCCCATGACGCTATAGACTAATGTATGTACCACATACATGTACCTCTCCGATCACCCCATATATGCACTTCTCCAATTACGCTATATATTTATACATCCCATGATTCCAGGTACGTGCGTACCCCATGACTCTATAGAGTCATGTATGTACCACATACATGCAGCTTTCCAATCACCCCATATACATGCATATCCCATGATCCCATATAGGTACATACCCATGACCCCATATACATACATCCCCCATGATCCTAATATGTATGTACCCCATAAACGAATGTATCCCATGACCCCATATACGTGAGCACCCTAAGACCCCATAGCACACCCCTGGTAGGAGAAACTAAAACACTGCTCGGCTCGGCTCTGTCTTCCCGTGTTGGCACCTTTTCCAGCGATTGCAGGTTCTTGATGGCACAACCAAAGGCCTGGAGCAGAACCCTCACCTTCCTCACTTCGGAGGAACGTCCTGGGTCTGCTGCTTTTAAGATTGGTTCATGGGTTCTTTCTTCCGGCAGTCGATGATATCTGATATCGCGAGAATGTTTCTTTCTGCGTGTTCGGTTGCCATGGAGTCGACGCCGCCTTCGTGATCCATGATCGCACTGTGCGCAACAGGACGGCGAGCGTCACCACGGTTGTTGCTGTGTTCAGCCCATGGCCTCCATGTCTGTCCATCTGTGGGAGGGTCTCTCTCCTTCCACTTGACCCACCGTGACTTCCCTTTCTAGAGATTGGTCTTTCCCGGTGATCTGATAAAGGGGCCACTCCTTCCGTCCACTTCATTACTGTGTCCAGGCGTCTGTGCTGCATGTCAGGTACAGGAACTGTCTGCATGCTCTGTGCAAACTCTGCTCACGTGGGCCCGGGGCCTTTACTCGTAGACCAGGCCCGTTGGTATGTGTGGTGTGCTCGTGTCGAGAAGACGCTGACCCGTTACCTCCTCTTCTCTTCAGGTCCAGACAAAGAAGGATGAGTCGCTGCCCCCTGCGTCCAGCCAAAGCATTCCAGCGTTTTACTTCCCGAGAGGGCGTCCTCAGGGGGCTGTGCATGTGGACACCATGATCGCCCAGATCGAAGCCACCTTCGCCCAGTTCCCACATGAGCGGGCCACGCTGGACGACATGGGCCGTGTAGCCAAGGTAGGCTGCGGAGGGCTGTGCACGTTCACGATGTGTCAGCAGGCCTGGCGGTGGGATGCGTGAGGCTTGGACTCTGAGCGCGTTCCTGAAGGCCGGAGACTCACACGGAGTCTTTGTGCTCACTCTTCTCCCGAAACTCGGTGGGCACTCCTGTGGGCTCCTCTCCCAGATGTGACATTAGACAGAGCCTTTGGACCCATCTCCGTCCTGTCCAGGCAAACACTACCCTTGGTCAGTGCGTGCTCCGTATCCTGCGTGCAGTGTTCCATCCAAGGATGCCGGGCACAGGCCCGAGTCTGCAGATGGGAACACATCTCGTGGGCTGCCAACCCAGGCTCTCTGCCAGCCTGTGCGTGTGCTGCGTGGTAGTTCGGCTTTCTGCTCGTCAGTTCAGGGTTTACTGGGGTGGGTGCGCAGCCTCTACACACCAGCTCTGGTTTCTGTGTGACACTCTGCGGTGGGATGCACCGTCGCTGACTGGCCTCTGGGTCACTTTAGTGGAGCCCTGATGCTTAAAGCTCTCAGCTGCTAACTGAAAAGAGCAGCAGTTCAAACCCACCAGCCGCTCCATGGGAGAAAGACTCAGTGTGCCTCTGTAAAGACCTAATCGTCTCAGAACCCTTAGGAAGCGGTTCTACTCTGGTGTGTAGGGTTAGGGTTAGGGTTGGAACCCGTAGGAAGTGGCTCTACTCTGCTGTGTAGGGTTAGGGTTAGGGTTAGGGTTGGAACCCTAAGGAAGTGGCTCTACTCTGGTGTGTAGGGTTAGGGTTAGGGTTGGAACTCTTAGGAAGTGGCTCTACTCTGCTGTGTAGGGTTAGGGTTGGAACCCTTAGGAAGTGGCTCTACTC